AGTGGCTTTCAGAACTTACTCTAATTTAACATAGTTATTGTTCATATAGTGACTTTAATACATGAAAAATTCAACTGCTGCTTTGTCAAAAAGTCTTACTTGAATACTGGATAATGTTCTGTACAATGCCTTTTTTTTTTGGTATTGGGTTGAGATCTCAACTTTTTACTGGATAATGTTCTTCCAGCAGCTGTGTTACAACCATTTGCTTTATGTCTTGTTAGATCTTTCCCATTCCATAACACAGTACTGTAAAAGGTACGACAAAAGAGAGAGGTTTCCCTACCATGGAAAAAAAAAAAATTGGCTGGAATGGAAGTAGGCCAGATTAAGAGTCAGAGATATAGGGGAAATGAGACTTTGTTTTACAAATTAGGCTTATTACGTCTTGCTTTCCATGATAGGTAATGTAACTACATGGTATTTCAGGGAACAGTAAATCCCGTATGGTTCCTACCTAGTTTTACAATGTAGTTGTGTGAGCAGGAACAGTCATGGGAAATCTGTTCTTTTACTGCCAAAAGAAATAGGACTAGATCAGATGAGTAATTTTGATGTGGTGGCAGGGGAGAATAATATTTATCTAAACCCATGGATTTTTCAAAACTGACACTCTTGCTTTTTCAAAACTGACACTCTGTCCTGGAAAACACTAATTTCAAGAAAACCTTCTCAAATCCAGGATGGATTAATTGGGGAGGAGGAGGGATGAACACTCACATCAGAGGCACAATGGTAAAGATACTCGTGGAAGACAAATTTGTGTTTCTCTGTCTGGCTGAGTAAGATGGCAGTATCGTATCCCTAGTGGCAGCTTCACATGCTGTCAGATGGACCATACAAGAAGGGGGCTTCCCTTTTCTCTGTATGTGAGCTGGGAGCTCGGTTCAGTTTTGGGGGAGAGGGGTGGGGATTTTGGCTGATGAATGGTTGATTGGCTTTTTTTGGGGGGGGGAGGGGCTGTTTTTCTGTTTCACTATTTTTATGAGAAATTTTGATCTCTAATAGCTCTTCTTTAAATCCAGCTAAATAAAATTTAGGCTGCAGTCTGTAGTGGTTATAGGTAAAGAAAAATACAGTTTTTGTTTTAGTCTTCCATAAATGTTTTTCTCACTAATTCATAAATAGATAATGTGCTTTTCATTTAAACAACTGAAATGGTAAGACTGGAATACTTACCTGCTGAAATGGTGACTTTCTGAGTTTGCTTGAATAGGTTGCTTAGTTTGGTTTCTAAAGAGGAATGAATATTGAATTTTCAAGTTTCTATGCATTTCCAAGTGAAAAAGGGATTCCAGTGCCAGAAACAAAAATGTGCCATTCACACTGGGATGTTTTTTAACCTCTGAAGTTCCTTAGAATGTGAAGGGCATATAGACCATGAATGGGCACTTGTATTGCTTTAGAAATCAATGTTCATTGAGCATCCTGCTGTTGTCATGAATAGAAATATCATTCCTTTCAGGACTGCTTAGCTTCCCAAAGTGGAAGGTCATGGAAATAACTGAAAAAGAAAAAAAAATCACTTACTATATGAAAATGTAACTTTAAAAAAAAAATTGAAACTTACACCAGAAATTATTTAGTTACTCAAATGTGCACTCTGATGTTTCACTAGAGCAATATACTGTCAGAGTCATTAGGTCAGTTTATTCTAGATCTGTCAAAACTGGTATGTATTATTCAGGCATGCCTTTTTCTTAATAAGATGAGACTTGTGGCATCAGCGGGGTTCATTGGACATGGAAGGCTCAATTCTGTAGTGCTCTTCACTTTTTTTTTTAATTGACGCTAGAGGAAAGAGCAAAGTGAATGTTAAAACTTGCTATGTATTTGTGAAATGATGTGGTAAATGCCTGGAGCCACAGAGTACCAGGGGGAGCAGCTGTGCTCACTGAGATGCCAGTGGCTAGAAAGCAAACTGATTCCTAACTAACCTGTCTCAGGCTTTAGGTCCTGTTGCAATGTTAGTGACTAGTCTATCTGCTCTTGTTTCTTAGCAGTTGGAGTTCAAAAGAGAAAAGAAAGCAGGGATATAGAATGAGCAACTTCTGGAAAAGTCAGAGACAACCACATGCAGCCATTGTAGATGAAAATCATAACAAGTAGCTGGGGTTAACTGCAGTGACTAAAATATCTAGTGTTTTTGCCCAGAAATTGGACAGAGTCTTCACCGCAGTGGTCAGGGTGTCAGGGACTTTTCTTTATAGACTTAAATTTACTGATGCTAGAGACCTACGTTATACAAGTGCAGTTAACTGAGTAAATGACCCTAGTTTAAGAATGTCAGATCCAGTTTTGCAAATAAATCTAGCCAAGTAGTACCCTTGTAGTAGAAGCACTGTTCTAGGAAATATGTGTTTAGGAAGAGGTCCAAGGTTTCTATCTTAAGCTTTTTTCATCCCTGCTGTTTGTGTATTTCTCTAACAGCTGTCTTAAAACCTGTGAAAATAGCAATACTTATCATGCTTGAGTAATGCTTGAAAGCTCCTGTGAGTACGAGTTCATTTGGCATTAGCTTGGCTGTTGAATATGCTTTCATGGTGTTCCGGTTTTATTCAACAAGGGCTAAGAAAGACTAAACAGACACTTGAAATATTGCCAGGGTTGGCACTTTCAAATGATAGATGAACATGTGTTTACCCTTGTGCACACTTGACTAGAGAAAGGGTGTGTGGAAAATGAATGCTGCTTGGTTACTGAATTAACCTCCAGTAAGATATTTTAGATGTTCCATGTGCCCTTTATAGATGAACCTTTTGTGGTTTTTCTTAATTCAGCTCTATTTCACCACAAATCAGATGGTGTTTTACAGGCTTTTTCTTCACAGGCACAGCAAATAATGGGATTTTTTAGACATGTCAATAAGCAGTACAGGACAGATAGAGACAGAAAAAGTGACACTGATGTACTTCAGCTCTTGTATACAAATTACTCATTAGGGTCTGGCAAACACTCCCCCTTTTGCTAGGATGGCTGCTGGCAGCCAGGACTATGGATATGTGCTCTATCCAAGCTTCGTGTCTGAGGCCTGGCTTAGCACAGCTTCTGCATTACTGTTATCTCATAGCTTCTAAAAGTGCTTTTAGATGTTCTAAAAGTCAAGGCTGGGACCAGTTATTTTCTCCTGTCAATGTCCTTGTTATTTCATCCATTCTGTTGATAAACTGATAACAAATGTGATAATTTTTCTTTCTTTCAGATGCGGTATTCACAAATGGCCAGGGAATTGACTATTTATTTGTTGGAAACATAGTTTACACTGTAAGTTTGCATATCCTAGCAATTTTTGAATGGTGGAATTTCTTTATTAGTTTTATACCATCAGAAAATGACGTAAACCAGAAGAACGTGTGAGTAAAATAATATCAAACTTAGTGTGCATGATCTTTCTCCTTCTTTTCTTTTCAAATTTTTTTTTTCTGGACATGCACCAACAATATCTTCTGCTTTCTCCATTCCACACTGCCCAGGCCCTGAGTTGGTAAAGGCGAGGTTGGGCTGTGAACACCTTTGAATTTGAGAATGTTATTACTGAAGTTGTCTTTTTTTTTTTCCTTTTTTCCTTGCAGTATGTTGTAGTCACTGTTTGTCTGAAAGCTGGCTTGGAAACAACTGCCTGGACTAGAGTAAGTATTCTTCAGTATCTTTTATCCCTAATGAGTATTAAGACAGAGTATTAAGACAGAAAAGAAGTACTAAAAATCATTTGAGGCTTCAGTGTTTTAATTAGATCTTTCATGTAGGGATAAACTGCTAAGCTCTCTAAATATACAGGGTGTGAGAGAAGAATGAGCTCACAGATCACACAGTATGTGTGATGAAAAGGGGCAGCCTGTCAGAAGTGGTAAGAGAACACTAAAAGTATATTACCAACATCTCTAAACATTTAAAATTGAAAAATTTTGGATGGAATCAACATACTACTGTAATCACTTAAGGAACAGAACAAGAACATCATCTTTGTACTCTATATCTCCTTTAAAAATTAATGCAATAGGGAATTAAAGGTGTCTGCACACCAGATAAACAACTGGGCTTTGAAAATATCTTTGATAGTAAAAAGTACTGGTTGACTTCATGCTGGATGAGATTTTTTTTGTTTGTAAACTTAGTGATGAGGATATTAGTCAAACAATTATGTTGATTCTAGAGTTGTGTCATTTGCTTGCAAAGAGTGAGTGCTCTGTTACTGGTAGGTGTCAGAATCTGCCAGGGCAGTGACCTCCAAAGAATATGGGACCAGTGCTGTTCAATATATTCAT